AAAAAAAAAAAAAAAAAAAAGAATAAAAATGATAAATAAACCGAGAAAGATGAATTTCACAGACATTATACTTAAGGCAAAGAAGCAAGAGCCATTAAGTATATACTATATAATCCTATTTATGAAATGATCTATAAACTAGGCCATGCCTCTGGTGAGAGAAGTCTGAAAAGTGGTTGAGGGAAGAGTCATTCACTACTGACTGGCTCGGGACATGAGAGAACTTCCCAGGGTGTTGGAAATATTTTCTATCTGATATGGGTTGTGCTTACACAGGGGTATACACATACATGTGTAAAAATTCCATCTGCCTCCATATTTAAGATTTATACCCTTAATATCACGCCTTTACAAAAGTTAATACCTAACAATTGATGATGACTCTGGGGACTAATTAGGCATTGTATAATAGGCAGTATCCTTTCAAAACCTAGTCCCACTGCCGTCTAATTACTGACACACATGACCTCTGAGGCACAGGGAAAGCGTTTTTGCAAAGGACCGGAGACAAGAACGAGAGGTCTCTGGGGAAAGAAGCCCCTCTGGCTCCCAGAACTAAATGGTAAACCGCCGAAGCGATGACTTGTGTCCCAAGCTGACCCCAGGACAGAGGGACAGGCCCAGACACGGCCAAACAGATGTGCAGACCTGACTCCGGCCACAGGCAGCCCGCGGCCCTCACCGTGCTCCTGCGGAGAGCCCCGCCCGCGAGTGAAAACAGCCAATCAGTAGCTTGCCCGGCCCAGGGTCACGTAATTCAGGTACTCCGTCACCTAGGCTGACCACCCGCCTCCAATGGGCGCGCTGCCCGGCCGCCTTAGAGAAGCCAAGGCCCTTCGTCCCGCGCCGGCTCCCCGGCACCCAGTAGCGTTTCCGCGGAGGGTGCTCTACTCTGAATGCCGGTTGGCGTCCCACCAACCAATCGCCAGTCTGTCCCGAGCCGGGGAGCCAATGGCCGCCCTCCTCTCTACGCTAGGCCGCGACGGTTGGTGCTGAGTTCCAGAGGTGGGGGAGGATTGGCGCAGGCAGCAGCCAATGGGCGGTACGCGCGAGGCGTCGGGCCAATGAAAGCGCCGGTGGCGGGGCGGGCGCCGCGGCGGGCGGCTGAGAGGAGCGGCCGGTGGCGGCGGCCGGTGGCGGCGGCGGCCGGTCATGGCGGAGGCGGAGGCCGGCGGCGACGACGCCCGCTGCGTGCGGCTGAGCGCCGAGCGGGCCCAGGCGCTGCTGGCCGACGTGGACACGCTGCTGTTCGACTGCGACGGCGTGCTGTGGCGCGGCGAGACGGCCATACCCGGCGCGCCCGAGGCCCTGAGAGCGCTGCGGGCCCGTGGCAAGCGCCTGGGCTTTATCACCAACAACAGCAGTAAGACCCGCGAGGCCTACGCCGATAAGCTGCGGCGCCTGGGCTTCGGCGGCCCGGCGGGGCCCGGTGCCGGCCTGGAGGTCTTCGGCACGGCCTACTGCACGGCGCTCTACCTGCGCCAGCGCTTGGCCGGCGCGCCGGCGCCCAAGGCCTACGTGCTGGGCAGCCCGGCCCTGGCCGCAGAGCTGGAAGCCGTGGGAGTCGCCAGCGTGGGCGTGGGACCTGAGCCTCTGCTGGGCGACGGACCTGGCGACTGGCTGGATGCGCCGCTTGAGCCCGACGTGCGCGCGGTTGTGGTTGGCTTCGACCCGCACTTCAGCTACATGAAGCTGACGAAGGCCTTGCGCTACCTGCAGCAGCCTGGCTGCCTGCTCGTGGGGACCAACATGGATAACCGGCTCCCGCTCGAGAACGGCCGCTTCATCGCGGGTCCGTGCGCCCCGGGGGCGGGTGGCTGGGCTCCTTGACCGCGGGCCCCCTCCGCGTCCTCTGACCCGGGGCCTCTCCCCCTCCCTCTATGCCCCACAGGTACCGGCTGTCTGGTCCGAGCCGTGGAGATGGCGGCCCAGCGCCAGGCGGATATTATAGGGAAGCCCAGCCGCTTCATCTTCGACTGTGTGTCCCAGGAGTACGGAATCAACCCTGAACGCACAGTCATGGTGGGAGACCGCCTGGACACAGACATCCTCCTGGGCGTCACCTGTGGCCTGAAGACGATCCTCACCCTCACTGGAGTCTCCACTCTAGGGGACGTGAAGAGCAATCAGGAAAGTGACTGCATGTCTAAGAAGAAAATGGTCCCTGACTTCTATGTTGACAGCATAGCCGACCTTTTGCCCGCCCTTCAAGGTTAAAGATTTAGTGTCTTTAATCTCCAATCTCCAGAATAAAAAAAATTGAAAATCAGTTACCCAAATTTATAGGTGGGGCTTGAGCATATGCTCAACTACCTGGCTTCAGAGGGTATACCTGGAGTTAAGCAAAGGGATTGGTTAACCTTGTAAGTAAACGTTTTGGGGGGTGATTTTGTTTACAGATGCTTCTATTCTAAGATGCACTTTTAAGCTTAGGGGCATTGAGGGGTGGGTTCCAGGCCTTGGGTGTTGGCAAGGGCAGCCTCAGCAGGCCCTGCTAATGGACTGAGGCTTGTCTAGAGATGGTCGACCATTATTTTGCTGGGAAATTCATTCAGGTATCAAACCCCCTGAAGAGCAGAGGAGAGGGGCTGATTATTGTGACTGTTGTGAGAAGCTTGCACAGAGGGAACTAAGGTTCCATCACTGTGACTGTCCAGCCCCAGAGCCTCCTGCATCCTGCCCCTCACTGCAGAGAGTGGAGGAGGGGGGCTGCTCCCAGGTAGTGTCTTCCTGTCCTTGATGTTTGGGATGCTGCCCTTGACGCTCTTCTCTGTTCCCTACTTCTTTAAAAACCACTCTGATGTCACTTGAGTGTCTGTTCTGTTTCAGATACCCAGGCTGCTGCTGCTCATACACAGTTACCCAGTTTGGTAAACTCAGCCCAGCTAAACCTCAGCTCTCTCAAGTTTAAACTTAGGTGATTTGGACTGAGTATATTGTTGGCTGAGTGGCCAAGAGGGAATGGATGCTTTCACTGAACTCTGGGCTTCTGAGCAGTGTTGGTACCAAAAATTACTTTTTTTTTTTTGGCTGAGTCCAGGTTTGAACCTGCCTCCTCCAGTGTATGGGGCCAGCACCCTACTCCTTGAGCCACAGGTGCCACCCTATTTTTTAAACTTTCAAGCAACTTTGTGAAGTGGTGGGATTAAATCACAGCCTGTTAATAGCTGTGCTTTGTCTCATAGGGAAAATCCCATGGAAGTCTCTGTGCCCTGCAGACAACAGCAAGGCTAAAAGCACTTGGTGGCTAAGAAATGCCTGTTGCCCAAGGCTGTTGGGAGGGGGGGATGAGATGTCCTAAGAACAGGAAGGCCTTTTATGAAACATCCAGTCTCTTCCTGTTCTCTCCTACCCTAGGTTGGGTGGGGATTACACGTGACCCATGGGCCACCCAACATGGCTCTAGATTCCCTTGTAGGTGGCCAGCAATAGGGGCTGTAGCCTTTTCTGCCTGTTCCCTAAGCCTGCTGACCTTTAACAGGCCTGAGAAGCAGACGCTCAGCAGTACCTGCAGGGCAACACCTAGGAAGTTGTTCCTTTTGGCCAACTCCTTCCCAGTGCCTTGCCCTGCACCCAATGGCTTCTCCCACCGCTGGGGTCACAGCACTACTTCATTTGTTCATGAATAATTTTCAGAGCAATAAAGGGTGTCCTGGGCCTTGGGGGTCTGGAGCTTGGACTGTGCCACAGGGCAACATAAGGGTAGCCTTACCTCTGAGGTTGGTGGTGCTGACGTTCGCTCTGCAAGGTCAGCTCAAGGGTGTCTAGAAGTCTGGATATTGAGCAGGCCTGTCAGGGTGTTGTCACCCACACTGGGAGCATGTGGCAGGTGCAGCAGCGAGAACATCTCCCTCTTCAGCCCACTACCTAGGAGCCTGTGTGTGCCCTATCTCCAGGCCACTGCACTGTGTGACCCTGAGCCCTTTAACCATATTAAACTCTCAAACGCACAATGACTCAGGTGTTCTTTGCTCTTGTGTCACACTAGCACTGTACCTTGCACTGAGGTGGCAGCTGCAGCTGTTCCTACAGATAGGAACAGGGAAGGGTAATAGAAGGGCTGACTGGGATTCCAGTTCCACAGGTGGAATGCTGTCCATCCCATTTCAGGCTATTACAGGGGAACAAGTTCTAAAGAATCAAGAGAAGCAATAGGGAATACATAGGGAAATTGGAGAAAGGGTAGACCATGAAGAGAAGTTGGCTGAGGCAGGCACACACACATGCTGAGCTACAGTGTTAGATGGCTGGAGGTAAGGGGTGGGAGTGGAATTGAGTGAGCTGCCCAGGGTAGGTGGGACACTGAGGCAGACCTAACCATCTGGCATGCAGGAGGCTGCGTCTGGGTGTCTGTGCATGGTCCAGCCTCCTGCAGTCTGCTGTGTAGTGTGCTTTCTGCAGGATCCTGTCTTGTGCTGGTGGGGGCTGTTGAGTGGCTGAGGGTGCACAGGCCCACACCATGAGTTCACTCAATAAGCATTTATTGAAAGCTTGCTGTGTGCTCGAGCCTGTCCCTGGGAGTCAATAACCCAAAAGACTCTGTCTGACACAGACCTCTTCAGGAAAACTTAAATCAGCCTCAGCTAGACTTAGCAATTTGCCTCAACCAGGCCCAGGCTGCCCTCCAGTTAGGCTAGACTTGATTTCCATGTGGCTGTACCCTACACCCTTCCAGATCAGTGCTCTGCAGTCCACACAGACCACAGTCCAAGTATCTGGAGAGCCAGGCCTCCTGGTGACAAGTGCCCCCAGGTGCAGGGGAGGGGACTATCCTGACTCTGACCTGGATATCAGATCCGAATCTGAACCTGAACCTGGGAAGGAGGCGGTGGGTCAGGAGGGGAGGGGTACAGTTGTTTGGCTCATCAAAGGTATCCTGAGGTTTCCTGGGTGAGGCTGTAGGCAAGGGGCTGCAGACAATCGGTACATTGTCAGCAGGGGCTACAGCATGGAGCAAGGGAGCTGCCGCACTGAGAGCTGTGGGCCCAGGCCTGCTGGGGTGAGTGCCTCCCACGCCTCTGGGGCAAGGACCCAGGGAATACCTGGGGCAGGGTGGGAGATAGTAATATCCACCTCCATCTCCACTGCAACCCTTCCTGAGAAACCTTTCTAGCTGGTCTCTAACTCTAACGACTCATTGATCCCAACATGCCCCTAGGTGAAAACCAAGCTCCATCCTGGAGGCTGGAGAGCCACTGGCCTATTGCTACTGCTGCTGCTGGCACTGGCCACTGCGGGAGCTGTGGCTGGGGGGCTCCTTGGCCTCCTTGCTCAGGGCCCTCCCAAGGTGAGTCCCTCCTCAGGACCAGTGCACCGAGAAAATTCAGGGAAAGCCAGCACATCCTAGCCCTCCAGAAATCCAGGGCTGGGAGTAGCTGTAACAGGCCTCAGAGCAGAGGGCAGAGAACCAGAGGGATGGAAGGGCCCACTTGGGGAATGTCAGAAATCCTACAGCGCAGTGCTAAGGGTGTGCTGGGGGCTGCCAAGCTAAACTCCAACTTCCCACTCTTAGCCATTGCTGCAGATGCTGCAACTGACCCTTGCAAACCCCAAGGTCCCCCAGTCCAACCAAACCATCCTGGTGGATGTGGCCCAGAACTCAGCAACCATTACAGTGACTCCTCCTCAGAGCAACCGCAGCTGGGTGGTGCTGTTCGACGGGCAGAGTGTGAGTGGACAGGGAGGGGTCATGCCCAGGTGTCTGGAGTGGCCCTCCCTCACGCCCCTGCCTCCCCAGGGCTGCATCTGTTACCGCCCTGAGAAGCACCAGGCCTGCTTTCTCCGCCTGATGGAGGACCGGGATTGGGAGACCCTGCAGCTGCTGGTGAATGCCTCAAGGGTGAGCAACCCCTGCTGGGTTCAGCACAGGGCCAGAGGCCAGACAAAGGGTCCTGTGTGCAGCTTGGGCTGATGCAGGCTGGGGCTCTGGTTTCAGAGGAACAGAAAGCTCTATCTTCCTTAGCTGGAGCTGCTGACAAGAGCTGAGGGTGGGGCTGCCAAGGTGGGGGTGGGGATGCATAGTCAAGGAGCAGGGGAGGTTCCCCTATCCCTAGCCTACAAGACCCTTCACTGCAGGTCCAAGGGTCCTGTACCCCCAGCCAGGACACCCACTATGCCCAGGAGCTGCTGGCCGTGCTAGGGAGCCATGAGGTGGACCCTGCCCAGGTGGGGGCTTTGGTGCAACATCTTTGTGCAAAGACCCCTATCTACTGGGCCCGTCGAGCAGAGGGTGAGTCAGGGCAGCTGCATGGAGAAGACTGTGGCTTCTCAGGACAATCTGGGGACTGGGGGAAAGAAGCCCTTCAGAGATTCATGGACCCCCCCCCCTTTCTCCCAGGGCCCCAGAGGCAGCAGCGGTTGATCTATCTCTGCATTGACATCTGCTTCCCAAGCAACATCTGCGTGTCGGTCTGCTTTTATTACCTCCCAGACTAAGCCCCCTGACCTGGCCCAGCCCAGCTCCTATTCCCCAGTCTAGCAGGCTGGCTGGGTCACCAGCACCATGGAGGTAGCAGAGACTAATAAACCCTTCCACATGGCTGTGGCGGTGTTCTCTTGTGGCCTCAGGACCTGAAGTGGGTGGAGAGGGGAGAAGAGAGGATAGCACTGGCTTAGGGGGTACCAGCCCCAGACCCTGCTTTAGCAGCTCCAGGCCCTGGGGTCTAAGACTTTCTCAAGGGAACGTAGGCTATCCTAGCCCATCTCATGCAGCCTGGTTCCGGTGGCCTCCTGAGCCCTGTTACGTACAGGTAAGCAACTGGGGGCTGAGAAAGCCCCATGGCAGATGGCCTAGTAGGCTTAGACTGGCCGGGGGAGCCAGGGGAGCCCAGTCAGGTCTGGTTAGCTGGGGCTGGCAGAAGCTAGCCTGGGGGTTTCACTCTGACCTGGTGCTGTGCAGGTCCATCCAGCCAGTACCATGTGCACTAGGCAGTCCTAGCTGTCAGATGGTTGCCTGCAGTCCTGAGGGGCACAGGCTAGCCCAGCACGCTGTCATTGAAGGCCAAGCAGACAACAGCCTTTTGGTGGCCACCGTACTCCCTCTTGATCTCTCCCGTCTCCACACACCAGAGCCGGGCCAGGTTATCAGAAGAGGCTGAGGGAAGGTCAGGCAACAGCTCAGGGCACAGGGTGGGCTAGGCCGGGCTAAGCCAGCCAAGGCAGAGGAGCAACAGCTGTGATGGGCTGGCCCTAGAGGCCTAAGCATGGGGGGGAGGGGAGCAGGAGGGCCGGGCTCACCAGTGACGATGTACTGGGAATCCCCTGAGAAGGCGCAGCCCCACATCCAGCCCCGAGATGACTCTCCAGGGTTGCCACTTCTGATGCTCAGCTCTGTCATCAGGGAAAAGTTGGATGTCCTCCAAATCTTGCAAGTCTGGTCAGCTGAACAGGTGGCAAGGAGCCTGGGGGTGAACATGGGGTGTTGAGCAGTAGCCTCCTACCCTACACTCTTGTGCCACACACCAGGTAGGCCCCAACCCATCAAGCCCCCAGCCCCAGGCAAGACCCCTTCCAGGCCACCAGGCCCTGACGCACGTGGAATCAGGGCTAAAGCGGCACTGCAGGGCGTAGCGTGTGTGGGCAGGAATCTTGGTCTTGGGGATGAGCTGAGTCACCTCGTCACCAATGCCCCCCGTCAGATTCCAGACATAGCAGTTTCCCTACAGGATAGGAGGCAGTCACTGGGATGCTGGCCTTGACCTGAGACTTAGGGAAGCATGCCCTGGGGCCCCAACACTGGGTGCTGAATGTACTCAGGGACATGTTGGTAAGCACTTCTGGTCCTATCTGTAGGAGGCATTTGCAAGGCCTGGTCCCAACCTAGGGCCATATCAACCAGCCAAACACAGGAGATCAAGCCTGGCCAAGGACTTGCATATGACCTCCTGGAGGATGCCGCTGGCTGACAAGAATGTAATGAAGGATGGGGGGAGGGTACCCAATAGAAGGAACAGCACAGGCAAAGGCTGAGGAGGGCAGTCTAAAGACATGGCGGGTAGTGATGCTGGGATCTCAACCAAATTAATGGGAGAAGACAAGGCTGGAAAAGAGAGCTAGGGCCAAACCACAGCATCCTATAGGCATGATTAGGAGTTGGGGTATCTCAGGTCCTGCAGGGGAACTGATCTGGCCAGTGCTGCTGGACACCTTGGTGGTCAAGGGAGAATAGATCAGGGACCAGGGGAGGTCAGAGAGGAGGAAGGCCTTAAAGAGTGTGTCTACTGTCAGGGGGAGACAAAGATGATTTGGACCAGGAGGCAACAGGGGAAAAAAGAGGGAAGTGGTCATACTTGAAACTGAAGTGCCTGCTACCTGCTGGATGGGCTCAGGTAGGGAGTAGAAGTGGCAACAGCAGTAATACCCAGGCTCTGACTTTGGTGGCCGTGTGAGTGTTGGGAGCCCAGGAGGGGGAAGCAGAATTGTGAGGGGAGAAAGAGGCCCAAGGGAATAAGCGCATCTGCAGGGGATAAGGGGCTGCACCCACAAAGACTCACAGTGCTATTGACTGCTGCCATGTAGCTGGCATCGGGGTCGATGTGGGCAGATGTGATGGAGACCTCAGGCTCGGGGATTAGCTGCTCATTGTGATCTGTTTTCAAGTCCCAGATATGAATAGCTCCACTCTGGTCACCCACGATAAGCTCCGCCTGGGGTGCAGGGGAGGTGAGACAGGGCAGGCCCCCTGACCTCCAGAGTTCTAGGCTACCCAGCCTCAGAAGTCCCCCTCACCTGGTTGGGGTGCAGGCACACACAGTTAATGGGCGCATTCACCTGGAAGATCCGCTGACACTGCAGATTCCGGGACCTGCAGGGTGGAAGTGAGGGAACACACCATAATCTACAGTGGATGCCATTAGTGCTACACCTTCATGACCTGTTCCTGATAGATTTATCCTTGTTCCCCTCCTAAGAGGAATACGCTGTAGGAAGCACTTGGGAGTTTGGGCCCTCCTCTCTGGGGGCCAGCCTAAAACCAGTGACTGACTGAAGGGAAGGAACAGTATGGCCCCTGGCCTGGACACAAAGCTAGGTCTTTGATGCAATTGACTTTGTTCTGCTTTTCTCACTTCCTTCAATAAATCACCCACACAAAGCTCCCTGTCTCATCCTTTCCTTGGAGAGAACCTAAGACACAGTATGCCAGCCTGGCCCACCTCACCCACAGGCAGCAGGCCCCTTCTGCCCAGCACTTCACACCTGAGGTCCCATATTCTGGCTGTGCAGTCCTCCCCACCCGTGTACATCCAGCGGCCGTCCTCATGGAAGCCCACAGATGCAATGTTCTTGTTGACACCATCATAGCTGATGATGGGGTTGGGATTATTGGAGTTGAGATCATACATGCGGATGTGCTGGTAACCTAGGGAGACAGGCTGACCTGAGCTTGGCTGTGCACAAGTTGGCCCACCAGAGATCAGGGGACAGAGCCCCAGGGTCACAGATACCTGCAGCAGCAATCATGCTGCGGTCTGGTGTGATCTCCAACGCGTTCACCTGCTTGGTCTGTTAAAGAGGATGGCAGGAAGCGAGCCATATGGCCCTGGGGACCTCTGGGATCTGGCCTAAGCTGCTGCACCGTTATCACCCCAGGCCTTTTAGGCCTATCCCCACCCGTGTACTGCCCCGTACCACCCTGCCCACCACCCAGGTGGAGGATACAGAGTCCTGATGCTGCACGGTGCGGGTGCAGATCCCGCTGTGGGCCTGCCAGAAACGCACGGTGTGGTCATAGCCTGCAGTGGCCAAGATGACGGGGTCACTGCCCACTGTGCCAGGGGAGGTGTTCATGGTATGGCTCTTAGGAACACCAAAACCTGCACAGGCCGTCAGAGCGTCTGGAGGGGAGAGAGGTGGGAAGCAGAGGATACCTCCCAGTACTAAGTACATTACAGAGCCACTGTGTACCGAGGGATGGCTGGGAAACTAGCTCAGACAGGTTCGGGGACATGCGTTAACAACCGGCAAGCGGGAGCAACTAGGCTACCGGCGCGTGCTCCGCCCCCACCCCCGCCCCACGTACCCGCGCGAACACCTTCCTACTGCGCCCGGCAGGGGGCAGTCCGGGCCCACTCTGCCGCAGGGGCGGGCCGCCAGGGACTAGCGAGCTCGGTGGCTGCGCATGCGTAACAGGCTGGCGGCGGGCCCTGATGGTACGGGGCACTGTCTGGCTGGGTCCTCGAGCTCCCTGGTGTTCCACCGACCGCCCTGGCTCCGTCCTACCGGCCAGACTGCCCCAGCAGCGCTCTCCCTGCCGCTCAGAAGCTGTTTCCCTCCCCTCGTTTCACGGCCTCCATACCTTACAGGCGGCTCCGAGCTCTGCTGTGACCCAGGACGGCGAAGGGATTCGGAGCGAGTCGATCAACCCTGAGCGCAGGGTTATCGATGGGCCTCTAGGACGAAACCATGGTGCTGGCGGGGGTGGGTGGGACGAGACCAAAGTTCTGGAACTAGGGGCTCCTCCAACTGGAGGAACCTGTAGCGGCACCGCGGGGTGGACGAAAGGAGCGACTTTTTCCTCAGCCTTATTCTCGCTCGGCACCTGCTCCTCTGGCACTACCCATTTTCCAGACTAGGATCCCTAGGTGGGGTGGCGCGGTCCCCATACCCTACCTGGACCTCCTACTCCACAGCAAGACTAGTATTGTGAGGTCAGGTATAGGACCGGAATTTCACATGGGCATGAATAATTTTTTTAGTATGAGTATTTCCCAAACATTGCATGGGACATACTTTCAAAAAATTTTATTACTTGCTTATTGTGTAGTTTTTATTTGCTTTATCTGTCACCTCCAGCCCAGAGCCTGTCCAGCCCCAACCTGATCTTTGGGACACCCCCACTCAGCCCAGAAACCCCCTTCATAACTACATTCATTCCAGTCCTGGGCACTACCACAGGTGGCTTCACCCCTGGGATGGGCTCTCCCATGGTTTCTTCCCACTGAGTTTATCGTGGCTGCTTCGCTGCTTTCCTCTGGCCACACCAAATCCCTCACCACCCACCGAGGCCCTTGGTCCCAGGAACCCTTCTTCCTCCCTCCTGCCTCTTAGCCTTTAAACACCACAAAACAATCCCAAATTCTCTCCTTCAAAAAGTCATCTTGGCTGCCCTTCTAGTTCCCTTCCTCACCGCCCACTCATTCCTTAACTTCTTTTGCCCTCAACTCTACAAGGAAAACTCAAGGTCCCTGGCAATCTCACTTTGCTAAACCCAGTGGATACTTTTCCTCCCACATCTTGACACGTCTGCCGAGTGGTTAATGTTACCACACCCTATAACCTCCCATTTCTACCTCTTGCCTGGCACTCAATCTGTTTTCCTGCCACCTCTCCAGAGATCTCTCTGCACTGAATGCTAGACCTGGGGGCTGAAGACCACCAGCTCAAGTTCTTCCAAAGGCATCCCTGCTCCAGGACTTTCCACCCTGTGTCCAGCATAGGTGGCTTCCAGAGCCTTGGCCTTCAAAGCACATCCAGCTCCCTGTTATACACTGTCCCTTGAATGCCTCACTGACAACCACCACCTTCCACAGCCAAGAGGGATCCTCATTGACTGCTTCCCCTTATGTGTGTAACGTCCACCCTTGTGTTACAGCTGGGGCAGGTGTGGACTAACCCCTCCCTCACTCTTCTCTTTGCTTCAGCCAGGATTCCACCTCTGGCCTGCCTCCCTGTCCTCTTCTTTCCACTGCCCTGGCTCTACCCACCCCCTACTCCAGTCATCCCCTGGATTGCCGTCCTCACCTATTTTGCCCCTTCCAGATTTTCCTCTGAATCATAGGGTGGTTTTTAAAGAAACCTAAGTCTGGGGCAGCTCTTGTGGCTCAGTGGGTGGGGCGCCGGCCCCACATACTGAAGGTGGTGAGTTCAAACCCGGCCCTGGCCAAACTGCAACAAAAAAATAGCCAGGCGTTGTGGCGGGCGCCTGTAGTCTCAGCTACTTGGAGGGCTGAGGCAACAGAATTGCCTAAGCCCAGGAGTTGGAGTTTGCTGAGAGCTGTGTGACGCCACGGCACTCTACCAAGGGTGATAAAGTAAGACTCTGTCTCTACAAAAAAAAAAAAAAAACCTAAGTATGGGCTGGGTACAATATCTCAGGCCTGTAATCCTAGCACCTTGGAAAGCCAAGGAAAGAGGATTGCTTGAGGCCAGGAGTGTGAGATCAGCCTGAACACCATAGTGAGACCCCATCTCTACAAAAAAAAATTACAAAAATTAGTTGGGCATTGTGGCAGGTGCCTGTAGTCCCAGCTACTTGGGAGGCTGAGGTAAGATAATTAGTCACTTAAGCCCAGGAGTTTGAGGTTGCTGTGAGCTATGATGCCACGCACTCTACCCAGGGCAACAGCTTGAGACTGTCTCAAAAAAAAAAAAAGACCAAAAACCCGAACCTTCAGGAGTCTCCATCACCCTCTCAACTCCTGGGCCTGACTCCTGTGGTTTCTACTACTCTCTCCTCAGGTCATGTCTTCTGGCCAGAGGAGAGACATACCCTCCTCTTCGAGTTCCTGTCTGTGCCTGGGATGCTTTTCCCTTTACTTCTTTCCCAGCCAAACTCCTGATTTTCAGTGCTTTGAATAGCCACTTTTTTTGCGGGGGGGGGGGGGGCGGGATAGAGATAGGGTCTTGCTATGTTGC